GGCCCAGCGGCCGAAGGAGCTGCACAGGCAGCGATGGCGCGGCAGCTGGTGCTTTTTTGGGCTATGTGCACATTCTATGGCACTGACTCACGGCAAAGGCACATCCGGCTCCAGATGCCTGGCACCAACACGGGCACTGGTAATGCATGAGGCTTCCAGCAGCCGGCCCTTGGGAAGACAAATTCCCTCTGCCTGCTGACATCACTTCATTTATTCCATATGTCTCACCTGGTTTATGTTGTTTGAGTTAAAACAAGTTGGGATTTGTCCAGCTGCAGCTTGTCTACATTCTGAATTTGCACTTTTAATACCACCAACGTGCCTGCCTCGGTTTCTGCAGTCTCTCCTCTACACTACCCACTGCTTTCCTGTCTGAACCTCCACATCCCCAGCTCCTGCTCTCAACGTGGAGCACTTTCAAGCAGCGCTCCTGTACTTCTGAGAGCTTCCTCAGTGCTGCAAAATCCCTCCTCTGGTACCAACGAGCCAGAAACGTTGCACCAGCCCAAGGCAACGTGTGAAAAACCGCTGTGCAAAAGCAGTTCAGTTTGAAGAGCCCTGAGCGGACGAAAAGGCTCGCTCCAGCAGCAGCGTGTGCTGTGCTGCAGGGCCTGTCGCAGAGCAGTAAGAGCTCGTGGCTACAACGGGTCACATCCTGTGCGGAGGTCAATGGTGTGGAGGCTGTAGGAGCAGGACGACTAACCTGGGTGTAAGTGCAGTTCTTCTTCTTGCACTTCCCACAGGTGAAGAGGTCAGTCTGCGTCCCTCCCGTCTTGGCCATCTGATGCTCCCGGATTGCCTCTTTCGTCATGGCTTTCCTGATCTCCTTCAGCTCATTACTGGCCATTTCCTTTCCAAAAAAACCATAAAGCAATAAAAATCACATCTGTGCAATTTTACTACCACACCCACTGCGGTGGAGAGAGCCAACAGGACAGGGTGCCCCAACAGATGGGTATGGGGAAAAAAAAGCTTTTCATTCCCAGTTTCTGGTTCATCCCTAGCCCCCGTGACAAGCTGAAGTCCAACAGACTACTCTCCCCGTTGCACACCCCATGGCTAGCTCTCCCCCCATGCGCTCCGGCAGCGGCAGCTGAGAAATGTGCAGCCCTGGCAGCAGCCCAGCCCCTTCCTTCAAGCCAAGCCTCGGACACATCCCCTGTAAGCAGCAAACCCTGCTCCTCCGGCTTCCTCACCTCCGAGGTCATCACCGCGATCTGCTCCGGGGTAATGGCCCCACACAGCACGTTCTTCTTCAGCTCGGGATTTTTGGAGTCCTTCAGGTTCGAGATGCGGCTCCTCACACGGTTTTTGTATTTCATGTCGGTGTTCTTGACATCCTGGTATATGCGTGCATGGCAGTCAAGGAGTCTGCAGTCAACCCAGCGGCTCCACGCACCCTCCACGCCCCTCCTGAAGAGCAGGGAGCATTCCTCACTTCCAGGGCACAGATGGTGCTGGGACCCAAGAGCAGCATCTGCTCCGAGAGGTTAATGCTGGACTTGAGACCAGACTACAATCCCAGGGCTCAGGGGCTTTCAGTTCTGGCTCCTCCACTGCATAAATAACCTTAATTTCCAGTTGTGCTCAGGGTCCCCAACCTGCTCTTTCTCTCAGCAAGGCAGCCACAAACCCCTCCACTCAGAGCCCAGCTGCACCTCCTACCCCAGAGCCCCTAAACCAAGCAAACCACTGGCTTATCCCAAATCAACAGGCACCTCAATCCTCATTGCCTCATCCTTCCCACTGCTTGTGACTGTACTGGCACACTCACCTCAACAGGGAGGCTGCATGTATTCGGAAGCAGAGCTGAGAGCAGGAAAAAGCATTTTTATGGGTAGGACAAACTGGGTATTACAGTCCATCACGGTGTGAACTGGCAGGAAACAGCCACATCCATCACACCAGCAAGGGGTCTGCCCTGAGCTCCCAACACCACACTGGTTCATTAGCAAGCCAGGACACAGCCGAGCAGAGCTGGAACCAGATCCAAAGCCCTGCCAAGCAGAGCTGCAGCAAAACATTCATGCAAATAAAAAAAAAAACACCACACCCCACACCAAAACCACCCCATTTTTGCCCTGAGCACATTCATTCCACGGCCTGGAGGGATGCAGGCCCCCGAGGAAGCCCTGTGCAGGAAGGATATATTCTTCAATCTGGGCTGCTATGTGCTCGCAGTCGGCGCCAATGGCAATGTAGTCGTCTGTAAGACAAGAGAAACACGAGGTCAAGCACTTCTCACAAGGCGAGGGGTCCCCAGGCTCAGGATTTGAGACACAAATGTAGTTCGTCAGTTTTGATTTACATGCTCTTCCCATCAAAGGGCATCTTGGCCTTTGCTCCAGCTGCCCTCTGACCCTTCTGAAGGGGCAGTGAAGAAAACAGACCACATCAGCCTGTCTGTGCCCTCTGCTCTCTAGGAGATGGACTGCACTAGACAAAGCTGACCAGAACCTGGCCCCCAAGACATACAGCTTTTATTAACACCTGGAGAGCAGCCCCGAGGGGAAGGACTTGGGGGCACTGGGGGATAAGAAGACGGACGCAAGCCGGCCGTGTGCGCTGGCAGC